TTTAAAAAGGGGGAGGGTGGGGAAAAAAAAAATGGGGTGGGGGGGGGATTTTGGGGTTTTAAAAGGGGGGGGGAAAAGGGTTTAAGGGGGGGGAAGGGGGGGGGAAAGGTTTTAAGGGGGAGAAGGGGGGGGAGAGGGGAAGGGGGGAAAGGGGGAAGGGGGGGGGGAAAGGGGGGGGGGAAAGGGGAGAGGAGGGGGAGAGGGGAGAGGGGAGAAGGGATACGTAAGTTGTCTAATTGTGCAGAGATATTTTCCCAGAGACCAGGGCCTGTATTCATAACTTACCTGATCTAAGATCAGGTCCCCCCTCCTATTCACTATGATTTATAAGGCAAAACTGATCCTAAATCACAGCACTTCTACTCAGACGCTTTGTACAAAAACACAACCTAGTCTTTTTACCACTACAAGATCAACAGACACCCAGTGGATGGAATGTTGGCGGAACAATGGCAGAACGTTGTCTGAGCGTTGACGGAACGTAGGCATACCTCCACAACAGATTCCAGCATCTCTCTCACTGCAGACAGCAAAGCACTCATCTTAACATTCCACCCCATTGTTACGTAACCTTGACACCCTGGTCCTGCGATCTAATTGGCTGCTGCACCCCAGCCCTGTGATCTGATTAGCTGCTGTGCCTGTGATCCTGGAGGACAACAGCGGGCAGCGACACACAGAAGCTCCCCTCTGTCTTAATTGACTTTGCTTCAGGGTGCCTGATGTATTCCCCCCCCCCCCCCCCCCCCCCCCCCCCACACACACAAACACACACACACACACACACACACACACACACACCACACACACACACACACACACACACACACACAAACATATACACTTACACACACATAGCTCAGATCAATCAACAGCACACAGGAAGACAAGGACTCTTCTAGGGGATGAAGGCCAAAGCCCACGTCACTCATATGTAACCAAGGCTTGCGTCCCAAATGTCACCCTACTCCCTATATAGTGCACTACTTTTGACCAGGGCCCATGGGGCTCTAGTGACCTATTTAGGGAAAAGGGGTACCATTTGGGACGCAGCCCCAGTGTGTAGGAAGACTACAGGCATCTATGTCTATCATCTATCTATCTGCAGAGCTAAAAATACTCCTCCATGTGAATTTACACTGACTAATACCACCTCTGTGGTGCTGACCTGGGTTCAAACACTATTCAAAATCATTTAAATGACTTTATCTGTGCTTGACTGAGCTTCCCTGACTTAATGGAACGAATATAGCTGTCACAGAACTGCAAAACCCTCCCATCTGGTACTCCAGGCAGGCTACAGCAAACACTCAACGTGTTTGAAAAATGTAGAATAGTATTTGAACCCTTGGTCTGGTGTGCTGAAACATACTGCATGCAAGCTGTTAGTGGTGGTGGTGCAGCCCAGCGTTCCCTCTGGTGGTGAGAGCTTTGATGTGCGCTTCACTCTTTCATGTTTGGAATTTCCATGTGATCAATATTTAATATAATATATAACAGAAGAGCCCGGTGGGAGAACAGACAGGAAGCGCGCACACACACACACACACACACACACACACACTTACACACACACACACACACACACACACACACACACACACACACACACACCTGCTGTCTCTATCACTACCTCCACCAGTACATCAAACAGCTGTTATGTTTCCTCATCAAATACCTATTACAGTTTTTCTCAATTGTTTACACACAAATACTGGTACTTGAGACACAATGACCACAACATGTAACTCATGCACCAACCCCCTGAACCAATTCTGCTAAACTACAAGCACAATTCCTGCTTTACACTCAAATTGCAGTTCTACAACACACTTTTTTCAAAACACTACACACAAATCTTTGCATTTGGCACAATTTTCATGCAGAAAATCTATTGTTTTCACAACGAACACACTGCCATTCAAATATGCACACTGACTCATCACATGGGCAAACACCCGTCACACAGTTTTACAATTAGCAATCAGAGCTTTAGCATAAAAGGGCAACAGGTGAGCTCTTCTGTTTTGGAGCAATGGATGCCAACATTGGAAACAGAGGCAGAGCCAGAGGAGTGAGAGTAAGAGGAGGAGGACGGGGAGGACGAGGACGAGGACGAGGACGAGGAAGGCCAAGGACCGTAATCTCTGATGAGATCCGAGCCACTTTGGTTGATCATGTGGTCAACCATGGTCTAACAATGAGGGAGGCTGGGCAAAGAGTACAGCCAAATTTGAGCAGGTACACTGTAGCATCCATCATCCGGACATTCCGAAATGAGAATAGGTAAGAAATCTACTCTCACTAGAAAATTGCAGTACTGCATATCAATACAGTACTCAATGAGTACAGTAGTACAGGATTGCCTGTGGACTGTTCTGTAGGACTGTAAAAATAAAGTATGTTTCAAGTATTTGGGAAATGTATTTCTACTTTGTATTTACAGCATTTTACTATTTGTTTGGCAGAACTGAAAGATTACCAATACAAGGTGGTCGGGAACGTGTTCTGTCTCCTGAACAGGAAACTGAAATCATGAACATGGTCCTAGAAAATAACGCCATAACATTACGGCAAATACAAAGAAAAATAATAGAAAACAATGAGATATTTCAAAATATTGATAGGGCAAGCTTATCAACACTGGACCGTGTCTTGCGCAGAAATAATCTCAGGATGAAGCAGGTCTACAGGGTGCCATTTGAACGCAATTCAGAAAAGTCAAAGAATTGCGATATAACTATGTGCAAGTGAGTCCTATACAATCCCACAATTGATGCATACTCTCAACACTGTATAAATTATACATATTTCAGTATTGTAATCATAATGATTGTGCTTCACATTAGTGACCACTCCATGTCTATTTCTGATATTGTCATGTGTGTTTCAGAGAGTCCTTGAGCTAGAGGTGGCTGCAGTGGAGCACCAGTTCATCTTCATTGATGAGGTTGGATTCAACCTCACAAAAAGACGAAAGAGGGGAAAGGAATATCATCGGCCAGCGTGCCATTGTTCAAGTCCCTGGCCAGCGCCGAGGGAACATCACAATGTGTGCAGCGATTACCCACCACGGTGTCATCCATCACCATGCTACCCTTGGCCCCTACAACACCGCCCATCTGATCACATTCCTGGACACCCTACACAACACACTCATTCCACCAGATCAGGTAGATGGCCCAGAGCAGCTCAGGTACGTTGTCATTTGGGACAACGTAAGTTTCCACAGGGCTGCTCTGGTTCGTAACTGGTTCACTGCCCACCCACGCTTTTTAGTGGTTTATCTCCCTCCATATTCTCCATTCCTCAATCCTATTGAGGAATTTTTTTCTGCCTGGAGATGGAAAGTGTATGACCGAAATCCACAAACGCGTATACCTCTTCTCCAAGCTATGGAAGACGCATGTGGAGATATAGCAGCTGATGCTTTTCATGGCTGGAATCGCCATGCTAGGCGATATTTCCCCCGCTGCTTGGCCAGGGAAAACATTGCTTGGGATGTGGATGAGGTGCTGTAACTGTATACATTAAATTCTTCTGTTTTGTATGTAGAGCATTGTGTGTGCAACTTTGTGTTGGTTGGGAATGGGATGTACACTGGTACATTGTTTTTGTGGGGAAAAATGAAATATATTTGTTACCGTGTATTTGTGTGTTCTGAGTATAAAAACAATATTCTCAAATATTTTACAACACACTTATGTATGTACTGTCTGTAGTAATGGCAACACTGAACCAAAAAAAGGCCTAAGTCATTGTGATGAATGGAGAAGAAGTGTGCATTGAGCACATCAGTGTTCAACTGGTTCTTATAAATGTATATTCATATGATGGTTTGTGTGTGTCATTTGAAAACAAAATACAATTTTGATAAGAAATAACATTGTTTTGAATGTAAAGTTTCATTTTGCTGAGGGGTTTTGCCCATTGTGTGTGTGTTTTTTTGTTTGTGTGTAGAGTTCTGAGAATATGAGGCATGCTTTCAGAAAATGTGTGTAAACAATCGAGAAAAACTGTAAAGCCACGGTCTGGAGTTTGATACAGTAAGACAGTGGTACTGCGCTCTAATATCATGTGCATCTGTGAGTGTGTGTATGGTTTCCAAGATGTAAGCACAATGGAAAAACCCAAGTAGCCTATGAACATGGAACTATGTAGTTCTATTGCTTCACTCTTCAACTTCACTTCCTCTTCCTTTCTCTAGAGAGATAGAGAGAGAGAGACAGAGCGAGAGAGAGAGAGAGAGAGATTAAAAGTTGTTAGGCTGAATGTGTACGGAAGGAGGAAGTTGAGAGTTGTGAATCACAGACAGAGAATCAGAATTAAAACAGGTGGTGTGAAGACAGTAACAGACAGATGGTGTGAAGACAGAGATGAAACATTATGAAACACAAATGTATAAATTAAAATAAAGATGGTGTAGTGAAAGAGGGGTGAAAAATAGAAAAGTGGAAAACAACAAAAAGACAACAAGGATCAGAGAAGGATAAAAATCGGTGTGGCTGACGACAGAGATGAGAAAACACTGTGACTACTCTCTTCTGGTCCTCGTCCTGATACACACAGGTTGGTGTCACTCACTATAAACTCGAATAAGACCAACGTTTTAGTTCAGTAGAACACACACAGCAAGAAAGTACATTAATCAAATAATTGAGGATGACAAAAAAAGTAAAATAGTTATTTCCATGATTATTTCCAAAACCCGCTACATTCTATTTGTAACCCTATTTTAACAGTTCATGTTAGGGTCATACACTCCCAGCAGATTTGGAAAGTGTAGGGTTTAGGCAAAAAGAAAGGGTTGTGTGTGTGTGTGTGTATGTGTGCGTGTGTGGGTGTGTGTGTGTGTGTGCGCACATGCATGTCTGAATGCGTGTGTGTGTGTGTGTATTAATGTATGCAAAAAAAATGGGTTTCATCTTCATTTCACTGGAAGTGGCTGTCGCTTTTTCTAGCGCCCACACATAACTGACTTCTACCTGCTTTACACAGGCACAGCCGACAGTGTGATCTCTGTATCTCACACACGGGACAGAGAGCATCTGTCTATCAGCTGTCGTCTGCGGGGGAACGACACTGTTTCTCAGATCAACTGGGAGATGATCAGCAGTCCCAACCACACCACTACCAAACTGAAACTGGGCACCTTCCATCCCATGTTCGGTACATATATAATAACAATAATGTCATTTATATTAGCATTAACTTAAAATATATATGTATATCTTAACCTACATTTACATTTAAGCCATTTAGCAGACGCTCTTATCCAGAGCGACATACAGTTAGTGAGTGCATACATTTTTCATACTGGCCCCCCGTGGGAAACAAACCCACAACCCTGGTGTTGCAAGCGCCATGCTCTACCAACTGAGCTACAGGGGTAGCATATTGGATGACTGTAATTCATATTCCATTCACCGAGCTCAATGTAACATCGATAGGGTTAGGATACTACATGATACTCGAATTTCTCTATACCCATCATGAAGTTGCTACAACCTAGCCTATGAATGAATGTTTACAACGTAGGTGCACAGGTCAAGAGAAAGATTTGAGTAAGCAAAGGGTGACAGACAGTGAAACATTCAATACTGCCTTGCACACTCTTGCCTGCATCTAGCTGATCTAGGGTGTAATCATTAGTCCAACAGTTGCAAACAATAGTTTCTATTGGACAAATTCAGGTATGTTATCCCCGTTTTGGTTTTGTTTGCTTCCGTTTAAGAAATGTTTTTCAACAGAATCGGCGGAATGAATACACCCCTGATCACACGTAAACACAGTTCACTTTCATAGCATCCACATGATCACTTGCTCTCACCTTTTTCCTTCGCTTGTAGACTTCAGTGCACAACACATCAGCTGTCAGTGAGCAGCCGAAAAAACCTTTCCAAGCCAAACCTTCATACCATAACCGCTAACCGTTACACACAGCCTACATCGTTGTCACCATATTAGCTAACGTCATACTAGTCAACATAGCTACTAGAACTAACTAATTAGTAAACACGCTACAATCATGCAGTGCAGTGTACAGTCAGCAAGCAGTTTAGCAGTTACACCAGCAGGCCCCAGTGGCAATAAATAATCATTTTTAAAAAAGCTTACCTTGACTTGGAAGAGTTCCAGTGTTGGCTAGCCATACCCAACTCGCTATCATAGCATCCCTCTCTGTTTGAGATGTGTGTTTGAGTAGGCTAAACTAGCTAGCTGCATTCGCTAACTAAGTGAAAGTGACAAAAAAAAAATACAAGGAAATATAGCTAGCTAGCTCTCTCTCTCATTTGCTTCTCCTTCATTTCTAAAAAAAATTGACTTGTTCAAAACTGTTCAACTACTGTCTTTCTCTCTCTCTTTGAGTCAACTACTCACCACATTGTGTTTACTGCAGTGTTAGCTAGCTGTAGCTTATGCTTTCAGTACTAGATTCATTCTCTGATCCTTTGATTGGATGGACAACATGTCAGTTCATGCTGCAAGAGCTCTGATAGGTTGGAGGATGTCCTCCGGATGTTGTCATAATTACTGTGTAAGTCTATGGAAGGGGGTGACATGTTGAAATCGATGTACCCAGGTGAGGACGGAAGCTAGCTGTCCTCCGGCTACACTATGGTGCTACCCTACAGAGTGCTGTTGAAGCTACCATAGACCTTTATTGCAAAACAGTGTGTTTTAATCAATTATTTGGTGACGTGAATATATTTAGTATAGTCTTATCTAAAAAGGGTAACTTTTTAAATGTTTAACTATTTTTATTTTTATGAAATGCACTGAGGAGGATGGTCCTCCCTTTCCTCCTCTGAGGAGGCTCCACTAGCCAACCTTCACCTACTGGTGAAAGTACAGCTGCAGACCTTACTGATCAACTGAACCTATTTTGTGTCTGTCTGTCTGTCTTTCTCTCTGTCTCTCTCTCTCTCTGTCTCTCTCTCTCTCTCTCTCTCTCTCTCTCTCTCTCTCTCTCTCTCTCTCTCTCTCTCTCTCCTCTCTCTCTCTCTTCTTTGTCTTCGTCTGTCTGTCTGTCTGTCTGTCTGTCTGTTGTCTGTCTGTCTCTCGCTGTCTTTCTCTCACCCTATCAATATCATTCTTCTGTCTGTATCTCTATTCCGACCTATCTCTCTCTACAGTCTACATTTTACTCTCTCTCTCTCCATCATCTGTATCACTGCTCTCTCTTCCTATCTGTCTTTTTCTTTTGTCTCTCTCTCACAGTCACATACAGGATGGAAAGACAGGCCTCACTCGCTCTGTCAGTAAAGTTTCCAGTAGCACTGACTATAACACCAAAGGTTATTCAGCTCTCTGACTATAACACCAAAGGTTATCAGCTCTCTGACTCTAACACCAAAGGTTATCAACTCACTGACTATAACTCAAAATTGTCAAAGACTCCAGCCACCCTAGTCATAGACTGTTCTCTCTGCTACCACACGGCAAGCGGTACCGGAGTGCCAAGTCTAGGTCCAAAAGACTTCTCAACAGCTTCTACCCCCAAGCCATAAGACTCCTGAACAGCTAATCATGGCTACCCGGACTATTTGCACTGCAAACTATTTGCACCCATCCTTTTTACGCTGCTGCTACTCTGTTAATTATTTATGCATAGTCACTTTAACTCTACCCACATGTACATATTACCTCAACTACCTCAACTAGCCGGTCCCCCGCACATTGACTCTGCAACGGTACCCCCCTGTATATATAGCCTCCCTACTGTCACTTTATTTTACTTTTGCTCTTTTTTTTCTCAACACTTTTTTTGTTGTTGTTTTATTTTTACTTTTTTTGTTTAAAATAAATGCACTGTTGGTTAAGGGCTGTAAGTAAGCATTTGACTGTAATGTCTGCACCTGTTGTATTCGGCGCATGTGACCAATAACATTTGATTTGATTTGATTTGAAGACTTATCTTCTCTTATCTCTAGTTCCAGGAGGCGAATGTTCGATGTAGAGACGTATCTGACAGATCAACACACAGAATCAGAGGTAAAGTTATTCTCTCAGCAACACTTTTAGCTCAACATCCTCTACATACCGTTTTGACACAATGGAAAATGATATCTTTACCTAGAAATTCTTTACCTAGAAATGACGTGTTGTAACCTAAAGCACATGGAAAAGGTCATTGGTGAAATTTAATGTAGGCTACATAACCACATGCCTTTGTATAGTCATAGATAGAACCATTGCCTGTCTCTATGGGGAGAGTGACCTCAGTAAACATAGTGACCTGCGTTACCATGAAAACCCAGAGGGCCCCCCCATCGCTATGGTTATCGCCATGGTTTCCTGTTGTTCACTGTGAATAACATTTGTGTGGTTACATTTCTTGGCCAATGCTCAGCCATTTCTCTCTCTCTCTCACACACACACACACAAACACACACACACAACACACACACACACACACACACACACACACACACACAACACACACACACACACACACACACACACACACACACACACACACACACACACACTGGTAAATGTGGTTTGACGTTTCTCATACTTAGGTTCACAATAGTGTAACATACAGTAGCGGGTGTGCTGTTAACAGGGCAGAAGAATCAGTCTGTCAAGCAGAGTTTTTAATAACGTTTGCTGTATGGTCGGATTAGGTGTGATGTGAACATTGCAGTGAGAGTTGCTTTCGTTACACTTCTATTACAGACCTCTTTTCATTTGGTGTTTACATTTACATGATAGAACGTGATTAAATTACAATTGATACAAGCAACATTACAAATAATTTTGTTACCAATTATTTTCAAAACAACATCTCTCTCTCTCTCTCTCTCTCTCTCTTTATATATATATATATATATATATATATATATATATATATATATATATATCTCTTATCCAGGGTGTCAAAGAGGAGCCCCCCCAGCAACCCCCCCTTCCCTCACCTCCCCAGCCCCAGCCCCAGGGTTTTGACCCCTCCAAGCTCTATGCTAAGATCAAGCTGGACCTGCTGTATGGACGGCTGTGGAAGGCCTACCAGGGGACGGCCACGGCCTGGGGCCCAACAACACAGCACGGGCCACAACATGGTCCACAGCAAGTGGCAGAGCCAGGGCCACAAAAGGTATGTCTTTCTTTCTATAGGTTTTATATTTATCTATGTATGAGGAAACCTCACTTTTCAAAGCAGTCAATTCAAAATAAAGGAATTTATTCAACTTCTATAGTGCTTTTCATTAAAATAATAATCTTTAAATGCTTGAAAAAGCTAAACGAACAAGATTAAAATAAAACAGCTATAGAGTGGGTCCGGACTACGATTTTCAGCCAGAGTTGAACGTTTTTGAGTGTTTCAAACCTCCTACAGATGGAGTGATAGTCAAGAAGGAACCACATGTAGTAGAGGTCTGTCCATGATAGGGCGCTGCTCTGCCTTCTTGACGTCTCAGTCGACCAGACAGGTCCTACAGGCCCTAGTTTTGTCGCACCTGGACTACTGACCAGCTGTGTGAAGCAAAAAAAGGACATAGGTCAATTGCAGTTGGTCCAGAACAAAGCAGCACGTAGGTGCACTTAGATGTACACGGAGGGCAAGTGTCAGTAACATGCATGTCAGTCTCTCCTGGCTCAAGGTTGAGGAGAGATTGACTGCATCACTATTGGTCTTTGTGTGAGGTATTGATTTGTTGAAGGTACCGAGTACAACACAAGACATGCAACCAGAGGTCTATTCACAGTCCCCAGGTCCAGAACAGAGGCTGGGAAACGCACAGTATTAAATAGAGCCATGACTGCATGGAACTCTCTGCCACCCCAGGTAACTCAAGCTGGCAATAATACCAGTTTCAAAAACAGATAAAATAACTCCTTACTGCACAAAGGGGACTGTGAAGAGACACAGCCATTTTTTATATATTGTATTGTAATTTGCACTGTACTATGTATTAGACCTAGATGTTGTGTGTACAGTGAGGGAAAAAAGTATTTGATCCCCTGCTGATTTTGTACGTTTGCCCACTGACAAAGAAATGATCCGTCTATAATTTTATTGGTAGGTTTATTTGAACAGTGAGAGACAGAGTAACAACAAAAAAATCCAGAAAAACGCATGTCAAAAATGTTATAAATTGATTTGCATTTTAATGAGGGAAATAAGTATTGACCACCCTCTCAATCAGAAAGATTTCTGGCTCCCAGGTGTCTTTTATACAGGTAACGAGCTGAGATTAGGAGCACTCTTAAAGGGAGTGCTCCTAATCTCAGCTCGTTACCTGTATAAAAGACACCTGTCCACAGAAGCAATCAATCAATCAGATTCCAAACTCTCCACCATGGCCAAGACCAAAGAGCTCTCCAAGGATGTCAGGGACAAGATTGTAGACCTACACAAGGCTGGAATGGGCTACAAGACCATCGCCAAGCAGCTTGGTGAGAAGGTGACAACAGTTGGTGTGATTATTCGCAAATGGAAGAAACACAAAAGAACTGTCAATCTCCCTCGGCCTGGGGCTCCATGTAAGATCTCACCTCGTGGAGTTGCAATGATCATGAGAACGGTGAGGAATCAGCCCAGAACTACACGGGAGGTTCTTGTCAATGATCTCAATGCAGCTGGGACCATAGTCACCAAGAAAACAATTGGTAACACACTACGCCGTGAAGGACTGAAATCCTGCAGCGCCCGCAAGGTCCCCCTGCTCAAGAAAGCACATATACAGGCCCGTCTGAAGTTTGCCAAAGAACATCTGAATGATTCAGACGAGAATTGGGTGAAAGTGTTGTGGTCAGATGAGACCAAAATCGAGTTCTTTGGCATCAACTCAACTCGCCGTGTTTGGAGGAGGAGGAATGCTGCCTATGACCCCAAGAACACCATCCCCACCATCAAACATGGAGGTGGAAACATTATGCTTTGGGGGTGTTTTTCTGCTAAGGGGACAGGACAACTTCACCGCATCAAAGGGACGATGGACGGGGCCATATACCGTCAAATCTTGGGTGAGAACCGCATTCCCTCAGCCAGGGCATTGAAAATGGGTCGTGGATGGGTATTCCAGCATGACAATGACCCAAAACACACGGCCAAGGCAACAAAGGAGTGGCTCAAGAAGAAGCACATTAAGGTCCTGGAGTGGCCTAGCCAGTCTCCAGACCTTAATCCCATAGAAAATCTGTGGAGGGAGCTGAAGGTTCGAGTTGCCAAACGTCAGGCTCAAAACCTTAATGACTTGGCGAAGATCTGCAAAGAGGAGTGGGACAAAATCCCTCCTGAGATGTGTGATCTCTGTGATTGCCAACAAGGGTTTTGCCACCAAGTACTAAGTCATGTTTTGCAGAGGGGTCAAATACTTATTTCCCTCATTAAAATGCAAATACATTTATAACATTTTTGACATGCGTTTTTCTGGATTTTTTTGTTGTTATTCTGTCTCTGACTGTTCAAATAAACCTACCATTAAAATTATAGACTGATCACGTCTTTGTCAGTGGGCAAACGTACAAAATCAGCAGGGGATCAAATACTTTTTTCCCTCACTGTATGTACTGATATGTAGGCTATGTGCAACGTTTTAAATGTATGTATTTCAGTCCTTGAATAATAATGTTCTGTACTATGTATTATGTCATGTTTCATGTGGACCCCAGGAAGAGTAGCTGATGCTTTTGCAATGGCTAGTGGGTATCCTAATAAATACCAAATACAACGTGAAAATAAAGCAAAAAATAATGTTTGTTGATGCAAATGACACAGAAATGACACACATGCAGTATTTGATAAAGTCAACATCATCATAACCAGCTCTACTTCCTTCTGGGGGAACATTGGGCATCACAGAGGGAGGAACCGGAAGAATCCATTCTACAACTAGAACCTAAATCTCAACCAGAACTAAGACCAGAACATCAACCAACTCTGGAAGGAAGAGAGGAACCAGTGACTGAGCCTGAAACTGAGTCTGAGCTAAATACCTCCACCAACCTGGATCCTGGGACACAGATGGAGGAAATGTAGTCGGACACAGGTTTATGAGTGTGTGTGTGTATGTGTGTGTGTGTGTGTGTGTGTGTGTGTGTGTGTGTGTGTGTGTGTGTGTGTGTGTGTGTGTGTGTGTGTGTGTGTGTGTGTGTGTGTGTGTGTGTGTGTGCTTGTGCGTGCATGTGTGCATGTGTGTGTTGGGATGAATAAAGTATTGTTAACATTGGTTGAATAACCCTGAAACTATCTGTCAATCAATACGATCAATCTTCATTGTCCCAGAAGGAAATGTAGTGTGAGAATATTAAACTCATCTGAACTTTTAAACATAGTTATGGGTTGAATGACCTTTGGCTTTTTAAAGAGACCTGTTATTACAAGGAGTGAGACAGTGGTTGAAAGAATAGAAAAACATATTTTTTGGGTGTATATTTGTGGCTTTCTGTTAATATAACTGAGGTATACTGATTCATGACCAATATACAGTATATTGGATATTTGTATGTTGCTGTACTACTTTTATTTCAATAAAAAATCGGACCATCAAAATTGTTTCTCCTTCACTTTTACGTTTAGATTGTGCCAGCTCTTCCTTTGAGCCACTGGGGGGCGACACAAGACTACTTGTTCACTGACTCAAGCCCAGGGTAGCCGTACACTTGTAAACAGGTTACACACACTGTAAAGTTAGTAATCTACTTTTGTAACTAAAGCATGGACAGTTCTAACAGACATAATGCAGTGCCTTCGGAAACTATTCACACCCCTTGACTTTTTCCACATTTTGTTGTGTTACAGCCTGAATTTCAAATGGATTACATTTAGATGTTGTGTCACTGGCCTACACACACAATACCCCATAATGTCAAAGTGGAATTATGTTTTTAGAAATTCTTTGAAATGTATTTAAAATTGAAAGCTGAAATGTCAACAAGTATTCAACCCCTTTGTTATGGTAAGCCTAAATAAGTTCAGGAGTAAAAATGTGCTTAACAAGTCAAATAATAAGTAGCATGGACTCACTCTGTGCGCAATAATAGTGTTTAACATGATTTTTGAATGATTACCTCATCTCTGTACCCCACACATACAATTACCTCTAAGGTCCCTCAGCCGAGCAGTGAATTTCAAACACTGATTCAACCACAAAGACCAGGGAGGTTTTCCAATGCCTTTCAAAGAAGGGCACCTATTGGTTGATGGGTAAAAAAAGGGAATATCCCTTTGAGCATGATGAAGTTATTAATTACACTTTGTATGGTGTATCAATACACCCAGTCACTACAAATTTACAGGTGTCATTCCTAACTCAGTTGCCGCAGAGGAAGGAAGCCGCTCAGGGATTTCACCACGACGCCAACGGTGACTTTAAAATACTTACAGAGTTGAATGGAGTATGAAAATGTATGCACTCACTAACTGTAAGTCGCTCTGGATAAAGTAAAACTGCAAATAATGTGGCAAAGCAATTAACTTCTATATTCTGAATACAAAGTGTTTTGTTTGGGGCAAATCCAACACAACACATCACTGAGTACCATATTTTCAAGCATGGTGGTGGCTGCATCATGTTATGGGTATGCTTGTCATCGGCAAGGACTAGGGAGTTTTTTAGGATAGAAATAAACAGAATAGAGCTAAACACAGGCAAAATCCTAGAGGAAAACCTGGTTCAGTCTGCTTTCCAACGGACACTGGGAGACAAATTCACCTTTCAGCAGGACAATAACCTACTACACAAGGCCAAATATACACTGGAGTTGCTTACCAAGACGACATTGAATGTTCCTGAGTGGCCTAGTTACAGTTTTCACTTAAAATCGACTTGAAAATCTATGGCAAGACTTGAAAATGGCTGTCTAGCAATGATCAACAATCAACTTGACAGAGCTTGAAGGATTTTGAAAAGAATAATGTGCAAATATTGTACAATCCATGTGTGGAAAGCTCTTAGAGACTTTTCCCAGAAAGACTCACAGTTGTAATCGCTGCTAAAGGCGATTCTAATATGTATTTACTCATGGGTGTGAATACTTACACTTACTCATTCAAGGGTTTGTCTTTATTTTTACTATTTTCTACATTGTAGAATAATAGTGAAGACATCAAAACTATGAAATAACACATATGGAATCATGTAGTAACCAAAAAAGTAAGTAAGTGAGTAAAATATATTTTATATATGAGATTCTTCAAATAGCCACCCTTTGCCTTGATGACAGCTTTGCACACTCTTGGCGTTCTCTCAACCAGCTTCATGAGGTAGTCACCTAGAATGTCCCAAATGGTAACCTATTCCCCATATAGTGCACTACTTTGAACAGGGCTCTAGTGCACTGTATAGAGAATAGTGTGCCATTTGGATGTTTTGTACCGTTAAACAAATTATGATAAATAGAATCTTACAAAACAACAACAACTTCAGGCTGGGTTATCTCAGCAGTAGCTCTACCTCTCTCTACTTCTATCTACCTCTACCTCTCTCTACCTCTACCTCTATCTACCTCTACCTCTATCTACCTCTAACTCTACCTCTCTCTATCTCTCTCTACCTTACCTCTACCTCTACATCTCTTTACCTCTACCTCTCTATATCTTCTCACCTCTACCTCTACGTTTCTCTACCCCTAACTCCACCTCTACCTCTATCTACCTCTCTCTACCTCTAACTCTACCTCTCTCTATCTCTCTCTACATCTACATCTCTCTATACCTCTACATCTCTTTACCTCTACCTCTCTATATACAGTGGGGAGAACAAGTATTTGATACACTGCCGATTTTGCAGGTTTTCCTTCTTACAAAGGATGTAGAGGTTTGTAATTTTATCATAGGTACACTTCAACTGTGAGAGACGGAATCTAAAACAAAAATCCAGAAAATCACATTGTATGATTTTAAGTAATTCATTTGCATTTTATTGCATGACATAAGTATTTGATACATCAGAAAAGCAGAACTTAATATTTGGTACAGAAACCTTTGTTTGCAATTACAGAGATCATATGTTTCCTGTAGGTCTTGACCAGGTTTGCACACACTGCAGCAGGGATTTTGGCCCACTCCTCCATACAGACCTTCTCCAGATCCTTCAGGTTTTGGGGCTGTCGCTGGACAATACGGACTTTCAGCTCCCTCCAAAGATGTTCTATTGGGTTCAGGTCTGGAGACTGGCTAGGCCACTCCAGGACCTTGAGATGCTTCTTACGGAGCCACTCCTTAGTTGCCCTGGCTGTATGTTTCGGGTCGTTGTCATGCTGGAAGACCCAGCCACGACCCATCTTCAATGCTCTTACTGAGGGAAGGAGGTTGTTGGCCAAGATCTCGCATACATGGCCCCATCCATCCTCCCCTCAATACGGTGCAGTCGTCCTGTCCCCTTTGCAGAAAAGCATCCCCAAAGAATGATGTTTCCACCTCCATGCTTCACGGTTGGGATGGTGTTCTTGGGGTTGTACTCATCCTTCTTTTTCCTCCAACACGGCGAGTGGAGTTTAGACCAAAAAGCTCTATTTTTGTCTCATCAGACCACATTACCTTCTCCCCATTCCTCCTCTGGATCATCCACATGGTCATTGGCAAACTTCAGACGGGGCCTGGACATGCGCTAGCTTGAGCAGGGGGATCTTGCGTGCGCTGCAGGATTTTAAATCCATGACGGCGTAGTGTGTTACTAATGGTTTTCTTTGAGACTGTGGTCCCAGCTCTCTTCAGGTCATTGACCAGGTCCTGCCGTGTTGTTCTGGGCTGATCCCTCACCTTCCTCATGATCATTGATGCCCCACGAGGTGAGATCTTGCATGGAGCCCCAGACCGAGGGTGATTGACCGTCATCTTGAACTACTTTCCATTTTCTAATAATTGCGCCAACAGTTGTTGTCTTCTCACCAAGCTGCTTGCCTATTGTCCTGTATCCCATCCCAGCCTTGTGCAGGTCTACAATTTTATCCCCTGATGTCCTTACACAGCTCTCTGGTCTTGGCCATTGTGGGGAAGGGTTAGAGTCTGTTTGATTGAGTGTGTGGGACAGGTGTCTTTTATACAGGTAACGAGTTCAAACAGGTGCAGTTAATCAGGTAATGATGGAGAACAGGAGGGGCTTCTATAAAGAAAACTAACAATTCTCTGAGAGCCGGGAATTCTTACTGGTTGGTAGGTGTCAATACTTATGTCATGCAATAAAATGCAAATTAATTACTTAAAAATCATACAATGTGATTTCCCGGATTTTTGTTTTAAATTCGTCTCTCCCAGTTGAAGTGTACCTATGATAAAAATTACAGACCTCTACATGCTTGTATAGAACCTAAACGCAGTGATCTACTTTCTCTCTCCACGTATCTCACCTCTACATCTCCTACTTCTTACTCACCTCTCTCTACCTTCTACCACCAAAAAATGCTTCACATGCTGACCATCACTCTTGGCATCTATCTACTACCATCCTACACTCTACCTCTCTCTACCTCTCTTTACCTCTGCCTGCCTCTAACCTTACCTCTGATACCTCTACTCTACTCTACCTCTCTTTACCTCACCCTACCTCTCTTACCTCTACCTCTACCTATCTACCTCTCCTCTAACCTCTAATCTCTCTACCCTCTCTCTACCTCTCTACTCTTCTAAACCCTTCTCTTCTCTCTAACCTTCTCCTACCAGTCTACCTCTATCTACCCACCTCTACCTCTCTTACCCTACCGCTACTTGTACCTCTTACCTCTCTCTACCCTATCTACTACCTCTACCTCTACTCCCTCTACCTCTACTCCCTCTACCTCTAACCTTTTACCTACCTCTCCTACTCTACCCTCTACCTCTCTCGTACCTTAACTCTATCTCTTTACCTACTCTTCTAACCTCCCTCTCTACCTCTCCTATCCTCTACCCTCTCTCTCTACCTCTACCTCTCTCCTACCTCTACCTCTCTCTACCTCTACCTTCTCTACATCTACCTCTTCTCTACCTCTATGACCTCTCTTACCTCTACTCTCTCTTCAACCACTACCCTCTCTCACCTTACCTCCTCTACC